GATAAGATTTGCTGAAATGATTGCTTCACCACACACATTCTGGAGTAAACCAAAACTTAACATGGAAACTAGTAATATACATCAAACTACTGCTTCATATTCACCTCAATCAAACGGTGTTGCTGAATGTAAGAATCGTACTCTTAAATAGTACTACATATTCTCCGCATTTATCACTACGAATAATCTTTATTTGTTTGTTAACTTGGTTTTCAACCTCATTCTAGTAGTCAATAAACTTGTCGACGATGAACTTCTTTGTACCGACATCTTTAGCCTAGTGTTTTTTCTCTGAGATCTCCTACAATTCCTTAGCAGATTTCATGGTACTATACACATTGTATAGCGAATTGTCCAATTCGTTTAGTGTTTAATTCTTACACAGAAAATCAAAATGTTTTCATGCATCCAACACAATCAATGATGCCCCATTATTTTTTCCCTTCTTGCACAGTATGGGCATATTCAGTCAAGAATTTAGTCAAGTTTTGGGTCGTAAGATAAAACGATATTTTCTATTTGCAACTTTTGAAATCAACCCCGTAAAACTTTTTCCGGTTTCTCTTCATGAAAAACATAGTTTGGATAGACGGAAGTTGGGGGATCCATAATTGAAGGGAAAACAACAGGAGGAACATCGATTATACTATTAAACATAGTCATTTTGGTTACAAAAACAGAAGATAAACCAATTCCAAATTAAAAGAAATCCAAGAAGGTGCAGGAAAGTGAAACCGAAAATGGATTTCAGTTTTAACCGAGAAAAACAAAAAATGTAATAAAGAATAACAACAAAATTCATCTTAATATGTTGAAAAATATGTTAGAAATGCTATTTTTTATTAAAATAAAAATATTGAAAATATAAAATTACCCAGAATATGACACAAATGCGAAGTGAACAACAAACAAAACAAGTAGTGAAGTATAGATCGAGGCAAGAATTGAACCTACCCCTCCTTGAGCCAATGTACCCATAAGGGGCCTTTGGTTGTAACAGCCCATATTATGGCCATAGCCAACTCCAAGTAAGTCGCAGTATCTTTTGTAGAAGCCAATCCTATCTTCCACTTCCGCGTTTAAACCTTTACCACATTCAATTCTGCCATTGATGATGTTGGTAACGACATCGTAACCAGGCCCTCGTTCAACTTCTAAGTCTGCGGTTGAGGGTGTCCATCTCCCACTGATTGCATCGTGGCACGAGGGCTTTGGCGCTTGTGGTGTCATCCAAAACCATAATGCAGTTTTGAATGAAATGTTTGGGTCATTTGCAACTACATCTGGGTTCTTTAGCAAATCAGACTCTATGGCTTTTCGTGCTGAACCATAGTTGTAATTGCAGCAATACATAATTCAAGAAATTAAGAAGTGCCCATTATTTTGAATACAAATATGCCCGTTACTTTAAGCCGAGCGATAATACAAGAATTTATGGCATGTTGCATAAGTAGCATTGAACAACACTTTAAAGATCTTGTCGAGTTGTTGTCTAGTACTGAATGATAAACATGCTTGTGTTTTACACGATACTTACTAAGAAATCTGGATAGGCCCTCTACCGAAGTACTTTTTACCAGGAGTACATGGCCACTGCGGGCTTGCAACACAATAATCCGGTGGATTACCTTGTTCTTGCTTGAAGTAATATCCCCATGATTATGGACCATCAGGTACAAAAGCCTATCCGCCTGTATAATTCCACGAACAAATTAGTAAAATATTGTTTCGAACACGAAGGGTACGTTTATTACCACGTTTTATTCGTTATGTCTAGTCTGCTTACAAAACATGCATGCATATGCAGGATTTAAATATAACCTGTAGTTTCATGAGAAGTTTGAGCCAAGAAGGCGGCAATTTCTCATTTTTTTAGTATCATTATTGCATGTGGTTCCAAAAGCTTCAAAGGAGTTAGCAGCAGTTATGAAAGCTTCATAAGTGTAAAAACCATTTGTAGAGCAATTTCCATCATTGCGATGCTTCAACATTTGATCGAAAAGGGATTTGCTTATTATCAAACCAACCCCTTCTTGAGTCGATGTACCTGTAACGAGTGAGGACCAAATTGAAAAAACAAAAAAATCCTCTTTCCTTTCGATCGCAAGGAAGATGTTTGGGCGATCGCAAGGCATTATTCCTTGCGATCGCAAGGAAAGAGGATTTTT